GCAGAGGCTTACGAGCAAACACGAATCTCTTGAGCCGAAGTACTTTCACTGCAGCTGTCCAAGTTCCCTCTGTTGCGCCACACCCTCCCCTCTTCAACGAGCAAATTTCCATCCGGTGTTCCGGATTACAATTTAAATCGTTTGCGGTTTTCGGTATCTCTTGGAACCGAGTTGTTCCGAGTAATTGCCGTTACTGTTTATATTTAATCGGTTATTTTCGGCTCGTTTGCCCGATGGAATTTGGAATTTTTGAAACGAATTCGTATACGAGATTCGTAGACGAGAGTTTTGTTTGTTTCTCTCGTATTTCGAATATTTTCGATGAATTTCGTTTATTGTGAAACGTATCGATATTCTCGGATAACGAAACGATCGATTTGTGAGAAAAACGGAAGAAAAATTAATTTTCCAAACATTTGTATTATTATTCGAGTAATGATTAAAACTTCGCGTTATGACTTTACGTAGAAGTATAACAAATTTGGACAATTGTTCCTTTAAAAATAATAATATCGCAGTATCTATCGGTTAAGCGTGTCAAATGTCAAATTTCAAATTGACGAGTGAAAAGCGCAAGTACGACGCTATCCATTAACTATAGGCATCCGTTACGCAGCAACTCAACTTCCTTTCTGTCTTGTTTCTCGCCCTTCCGGTTCACGAGGTGGAAAGCTTCACGGGGCGTGTTGCCGCACCGAACGCTCCATGTTGCCATTGTGTTAATATTTGAGGAAGCAAGCTTGACGCTGCTTGTGCTTGTTGATGGATGGCTCTTTATCTCTCCCCTACCCGCTCGATCAAATTAATCACGTACAAGACGAATTGCAGGTCCGACGAAGAATCATCAACAACTCTTTACCCTCTTTATCCTTGACTTCCTATTCTCACGTTTTTTTTTTAAAAATCGAATTTTGTTATTTTATCGCACGATGCCGTTGGAATTTTAATCTCTTTCTCTTCTCGTTAAAAAATGAAAATGTTCGGGGGCAAACAATTTTATTCCGTGGACAGATATTTTATTTTAAAATTTCACGAGAGAGAGAGAAAGAGAGAGAGAGAGAGAGAGAGAGAGAGAGAGAGAGAGAGAGAGAGAGAGAGGAG